TCTGAAGTATACTACCCATCGAGAAAACATTCATTCTTGTCCCTCTGCCTGTACCCTTCCATTTTTATAACAATCATTTTACTACGAGATGGATGTTTTTCTTTTCATTTACCGACATTCCTTAAAATAAGGACAACGTAAATAGGTACCAGGAATGAAAATTATGGAAATTTACATTGAATTCAACGCATTTTTAAGGGTTTTTATACGCAAAAAATGTAAATGAAAAGAGTGTACAGGGTTACCCACATAATCTACGCCCCTTGTGTTTTTATAGAAAAAATAACAAAGACCAAAGTTCTAGGAAATTTTCTTACTTTTTCGAACACGTCCAGAAAATTAATCCAGAATTATTATGCGAAACTAGGGCCGACCCTGCGTCGTCCCACTTATTCAATTGTTTCTTGCTCTCGTCCGTTTACGTTGTTTTTTTTTTCAAAACGCCTTATTTAAATCAAGCATAACGCTATTCAAATGCTGGTACCCGGTAGAGTAAGCCCAACGTATGGTTATGGACAAGAAAGACCGCAACGTGTCTTAAATATGGAGGGAGACAATTGTCGAGGGAAACCTGAACCGCAGTACCCGCGCATGTTACCAGAGCAGCTACTGTTTTACATGATAGTTTAGACCGCATGTTGTTGAAAGTAGGCGTTTTTTATGCGCAATTTTCAGGGAGTGTATAGCAGTCTTTTGACGAGTGATTTGGAAAATCTAAGCAAGTTAGAAACAATGTCTCTTCACTGTATCAGTTATACAAGTTTCCTTCAGGGTGTAAGACACTTTACCATGGGCGTAGTTAGGATTTTTGCTTGGGGAGGGCCTAGGGACGATACAAGCTCTATGGAGGCCTCAAAAAAAAAAAAAAAATGCAAAATTGTCATTGAAAAATGTACGGTATCGATTCCACATGATTATTTAACTCTCCAAATAATTCTTAGCAAGTATGCCGTCTGAAAATGATGGTTAATGCAAAAGTTTATAAACAATTACTTGTATTTTGGAATTGAGTTTTATTTTTTTTTCGTTAAGATCATTAATTCCTGTACGGCAACCACTTTTTTGATAAAATATAACCAGAAACTATCGTACTAAATCATGGCCGGTAATAATTAATGGTACAAATTAAAAATTCGAATTAAAAAACAAATAAATAAATTTTGATAATTTACAATATTTTGAAAATTCCTTGTTATAAACTAAAAATGTTATATTCAAAATATTTCTAACCCCTGTATCAGCAGATACGTACGGCGTCACTAAAAAAGTTATCTACGTATCAATCCAATCGCCAAAAACCGGGCCAAAATTTTCCAGGCTTCCAGTATTGCTATTTTTGTACGGCATTAGGTCGAGGTTCATTTTTTTGTATAACTTATATGCTTTAGAAATACGCCGTACAAAAATGTTTTGCCGAAAGCCACCGGTTTAGCTTACCTGTGTACTCACCTGTACCAACAAGAATTGACGGAATAGTTTCTAAAGTTATTGTTATATGTGGTAGTATTGATTTATAAGTAATTCATGCTGGGTCAAATGACCCCTTGAAAGTTTCCGATGGGCTTGTAGTCTAGGAGTAACTCTTGCACATTGCCCGTGCGGTATATCGATTGTTAAGTCCCTTGGGTAAATCCTCATACCAATTTCAGAAGTTCATTACCAGGTGTGTATATTTTACCAAGTAAAATCCAGAAATACTTGAAATCGCGAAATTCTGGAACCTGCCTTTGAAAGAAACTTTATCCAGTAAATTTACTTTCCGAAACTTCGAGACACACACGCACCGACTTAACACTTTAACGACCCGATAAATTTGTGCCGAAATTATATGTTACAGATTTTCTTGATGGAAGTTGCTACTTCCAGAAAAAATTCGCGACAGCTAAATAAGTAGTATTAGCCGATTCAGATGTTAAAGTTTCGTTGACAATTTAACTGGAAAAAACTCGCAAGTACTTAATGAAGTTCTCCCTCTGCAAGCCCTCGAAGTCGAAGTATTCATCATCCCACGGGGAAAACACGTAAAATATAAACACACATCCATGTATATATATAGCAGGCTTTGGTATTTATAGTAATGCTTACAAAGAAAAATCCACCTACTCTGTGGGGGTATTCGGAGCCGGTATTTACTTGTCAAAAGCAAAACCCTGTAATTGGTTACATTATCCGTATGTCTATTTTACAGTTTGAATAAAGAAGGCTTACCAGACACAATCGCGACGTTTCGTAGTGTTTCCAGCTTCGTCATTGTCAACTTATAAATGTTTACGCTTATATCGCTCAGTTTTATTCCCGAAGTTCTGAACGTCTCCCCTCTCCGCGCCAATTGCTCTTTTATTTATCACAACTAGAACCTCAGACGAACAATTATCTCGTTTTTAGCCGATCTTTCGAATAAAGTTCGTATTTATTTGAGGAATGTTGTGGTTTACTATCGTTTCCGAAAAAATAAAACAGTGCTTTGAATACTCTCATATAGAACTAGCTCTGTAACAAGTTTATTTGTTTTTGTAAAAATAAACACTTGTTTTTTGCTAAAAAATTATGTACCAATTTTTGCAGTGTCGCTATACAGCGTATGTCACATATTTGGGAACAAGATTTAAGATGTTTATATATTTTTTTAAAGAATAACACGGCCTTTATACAGGGTGTTTTGGAAAAAGTACAGTAAATTCAGTGACATTTGATGGCATAACATTTTTGAGGTTATGTTTTTTACAGTGCATGCAATGTAAATTTTAATTTGGCGTAAAATGCACCGTTTTGATAAAGAACACAATCAATCGTCCTGTAGTAAATTAGCTTCTACTTCTCACTATACAAAGTGTTCGGGAACGACCGTACTTCAGTGGTAGCGTAGAACAAGTTACCTTACTACAAGTTTGTTACCTTAAAACGGAATAGAGAAAGAACGATTACTTTTTAAGGATACCCGGTATATTAAAGAATATAAGCCGATTGGCAAAAACAGCGCGTTTCTAACAATTGCAACAAAATTTTTTTACGTAAAATTTTTATTTAATCACACTTAGCTGCAAAATATTAGTGACACACTCTAACAGTGTTTTTCAAATTTGTATGTTGACTTGAATACTGTTCCCGTTTTATTTCAAGCTTGTAATATTTTCTTCCCATGATTATGTGTTATTCTTGCAACTGTAATTAATGTAATGATTGTTTAAATAAAATTTCTGTGTAATATTTACCTTCAACAGATTTTAATTCGGGCCCGTTGAATTGTTTGGAATTTTTTAATGAAAAAAACGAAAAAATCATTACTGTAGAAATTTTGCATTTTGCACTTTTTTAAAGTGAGGTTTTTTTTGTCTGCATTTTTCAGATTTTTGGTTAGGCAAAAGTATTTTCATAAAATTGTATTTTATTATTATTTATTTGCATTTTATTTTTATTGTATTTTTGTAACTGAATGATTATAATCAATTTTTTTTAAATTTTTTTCACAAGCGGCAAAATACCTAATAAATAAATAAATAACTTCAGTAAATACCTCATTTTTAAGGAGTCGCATTGGACTATAAATGAGATTGAATTCAATTAAAGTACTCGATAACCATAACATAAAAAAATAGTGACTCGAGAATGGTCCGTTTTTTTAAATAAACTGCATAAAAGAGTTCTAGTTTCTCAGAAACACTACTAGGAATTAAAATAGTGATCGATTTTCGCGAATATCCAGTGATATCATTTATTTATCAATTAAATCTATGTCTTTCTGTTTAAGTGATAGATATAAATTCAATCAGCAAATAAATTTATTTGGGAGAGGGGATCGAAACTTTTTCTGGCCCATAGAGTACAACTAACGCCCCTACGAACTACGCCAAAATTAGTGGCAAGCAATTACTTATTTATTATGCCAAAAAAAGTAACACTGACAATTTTTAAGTTGAGAAAAACTTTCAGAATCATTGAGAAATTTTAAAATAAACTTCTAATTTTGTACATCCTGTATCTCTTTAACAGTCGGTATTTCATTTCAAAGCATGTTTGGCCCAATCATCATACTTTATAGCTTCTAGCATTTCCATATCCGAGATTTACCATTCTCAGTGAATCGCCCTGTATAAGAAATACAATTTTCTAAAACTCTGCGTATAGTTTCAGCGCCAGTTAGTTAAAATTAACAACCCCGATCTATCCACATTCCTAGTTTATTTTGCGTAATACACGTATTAAAAGTATTAAATTATCTGCGGACTCTGTATGTTAATTATTATTAATTTGCTCTCCGGGAAAAAAATAAAGCGTTTTGGTACCTACCTTTTTTACTATACTTTCTAGAAGATGTAGAATTCCGTTATTCTGTTTTGTAAGGAATAATTGCACCGTTTTAATTGTTATTCGAGGAAATGTGTCGGTTGTAGTTTAAAATATATTTTCCCACTAAACGTGCTTAAAAATGTAGAGGTTAGGTTCGGCGAATTGTGCCGATATATCTTGTTTTGACTGGGGGACGAGTGCAGACGTCCAGCAAATGGGAGAAATATATCCGGTGCAGTACATCAACAGTACTGATTAGCCGGTTGAATGGAAAAAGAAAACTCGACGGAAACGGGCATGGGCGGTGCACAGTTAGGGGTAGAGCCAATGATTTGTGAGTATCGAAACGGGAGGGGAGGGACGTTCATTTTCAAAAATCAGTGGGGGGCCGCAGGGGACCGCGTGGATTGTGTCGGAAAAAAAGAACAGGTTAGAAAACGCGCCAAGTTTTTGGGGGTGTCAAACCGAGAGAGAAACACATAGGCCGACAAGGAGTGCCAGCGGAGAGAGATTCTGCCCAGGAGCAGCCCGGGTGGCGCAAAACCGGCATCGCAACCCCATTCTGTGAAGTAGTCTTTCACCACCCCTCCTGCTATGAAGTCGTAAGTCGACGACTCGAAAACATTGTGTACGTATATATCTGCTCACGCTGGCTGTCCTGAAGCTCATTCGCACACGATGGCATTGCACTTGGTACACCCATACAGCACCAGGCAGTGTTAACTTAGCACCTTTGTACTTGCACTAGTATTCAAATTTTCCGACAATGATTTTTATTTAATTGTTGCACTTTTTATAATACATATACATAGCACAAGTAGTTTTATATAATCTTCTTCGAGCCGATAGCTTCAAGGGTCCCACTTAGCAAGGTAAGAATTTTTTTATTTCATATTGGTGTTTCACTTTCGCGTTATTTTCAACTTTGTTTTTAATATGGTTTATCCACGTGTCCCAACGATATCGTTGCTGTTCCATGAATGCCTCTACTGGTGTTGTAACTTTCTTTAACTTCGTTCAACTTTTTGCGACAACTTTCAATTAACTTTTTCCCGAGTCGTGCATATAGAAATACGGCCCTCGCTCGCGCCGATTCTAACGTCTATTCTTTCCTTTTTTTACGTTTTTTTGTCGAGAAGCTGACGTGTTTCCAAAATTGTTTATTTCAGTTTGAGTCTGTTGGAATTTTTTACTTGGACCAGCAGCCGATTTCTTTGATTTTTTTTTTGTTTTCTGAAATCACGTTCCTTTCAGAATTGTTTGTCACCCACATTTCATTTCTTATTTGAATAAAATGCATGGTTTTTAATTATCATTATTTATTTATTTATTTTTCTCCTAGCAATCATAAAGTTACTATACTTAGGTACTAGTATATTTTTATTTCATTTAATTAATAAATTATTTATTTTTTCTTGGACATGAAACAGTTTTATATTATTTTTTTATTTATCCCCATGACCAAATTCTAAATAATTTACAGTATCACAAAGTGACTTTAAAATAATAATCAGTCACATCTAAGTTAAAGCTTAATAAAATATTTTTAATTTTTTTTAACCTAGTTTTATTTTGTTACTTAGGAATTAAATTGAAAGTGCTGTTTTTTTTGTAACAAAAATAAAACAACGCTCCGTTCAAGATTAAGTGTCTATAAATTTTTATTTTCTCGCAATAGATATAGGGTGTTCCGATTTATAGGTGTCAAATAAATAAAAAACGTAGTAGCTGAAATATATATTTTTTAATAGACTTTAATAAAATGCATATTATTTTACTCGTAAATCTGAACACTCGGTATATTTTTATAGATTACTGAAGGCGCTAGACATATATTTTTAAGGGCAAAAACAGTAGGTTTAATATTTTACTGTATCTTGATGAAAGTGGTAGAACTTAAAATATTCTATTACATCATATAACATATGAATCGTTTTTAGTTATCTAAGCCTACTTTTTATTAATTAAATCTGGTGTCGAATTTGAGAAAAATTGGTTAGCGAATTTTTTTATTAAAATTTGAATACGCCACTGGATGCACCTCCTCAATGTGGTTTGTACCAAATTTCGTAATTAAAAAAAAATATTTATTGCTCATTGTAATTTAAAAATTTGCCGTTCTTCCTAAACTGGATAAATGATTTAAATAAACAAGTAAAATGCTCATTTAATGTGTTTTTCTAAAATGTGCAGTTGCAAATCACAAAAATAAATTTAAGAATATGGTTCAATTTTTTTTGCCTATGGCTTGTGTCATTATTTATATTTGTAATTCGTATATAATTGGTTCAACCATTGAAATTAAAAATTATTGTTTAATTTGGAACTGCACATTTAAGAATTTTGTTTGTTTATTTAATTTATTAGTTATTAATGATAAAACCTTTAATATTAATTTTACAATGAGCATTAATTATTTTTCCTCGAACTTTGCTACAATTTACATTAAGAGGATACGGACTCCAGTGGTGTAGTAAGAATTTAAATAAAAAAATCGCAAACTAATTTTTGTCAAATATGACGCCGAAAACATAATTAAAAGTAACTTAATAACCGACGATAAACTCAAATCATATGCGATTTAACACATTTTTTTAAGCTCCATCTTTCCAAAAAAGAAAACGAATTAAATTGGGCAAATTACAAAGGTATTTCCATTTAAAATGGGTCATACTGTATATTCATTTATTTATTTTTATTTTGCAGGATGATGTTAGTTTATTTTGGACGTAATATATTTTTTTTGTTTGTGAAATGTTGCTTATTTAGGGCAAAGTTTATTTGGAGTTTATTTTACTGTTCTTCTTTATATGAAAAATTTCACCTACTTATAAAAAAGGCGTAGTATGTGAATTATAATAATTTTATTAAAATATTAAATATTTATTTATGGAATATTTAAAGTTCCATACAGTCGGTAGTCACACCCCCTTAAAGATTTACTGCCTATAAAATCATCTTCTTCTTCTATATTAGAAGGCCTAGTATTTATATGTATTTGGTGTAGAACACTAAAATCAATAGAGCTACCCGTTTTTCTCTTATTGTTTTAGTGCTTTTTACCGTGATTTTTTTTAATTTGTTTTTTGATGTAACAAAATAATAAGTACAGAATATTATTATTAGATAAACAGAAAGAATATAAAAATGTGTCACAAATAAAAATAACCATGTCAAAATCCATAAATCCTTAGATTTCTTAATTTTTTATTCATTTTTATCAGAATAATATTGGAGCCGTTTTATTAAATTTTCCTCCCATATAACAATGAACGTTTTAAAGGGTCACTTGCATAACATTTTATATAGGAAATTTTCTTGTGATATCAAAACTGTACTTAGAAAAACATTTGAACGTTGCAAACTTATACTTTTTTTACACAACGTCCTGTATATTTTTACATGATATATTGTGTGACAGGTCTATCTCTAATAATAAGAGAGACACGACCAAAACAGTCTAAAGAGATTATAGTTAGCATACTCTTTTGACCGTAGCTTCCTTATTATTAGAGATAAACCAAACCTTACATCTTTGCAACGTTGAGGAAATATTCCTTCCAATTATGTAAAAATGTACAGTGTATTCTATTTAAACTACCCCGCCCACCTGCAGTTTTTTTTTTCTATAATGTTTGGTTTTTCACAATGAGAAATTGGTATTTTTAGGGAACACAGAAGGCGTTTTGTTTCAGTGTTTCTTGAAACAAATACGTGGTTCTCATTGCGAGTATTTGTTATTTTAAATTTTCGGAGGAAATAACAAATACATAATAATATTCAGTCGTGTCATAATGTCTCTGTTATTTAGGCTGTGAAAAAAATTAATTAAAAAACCTTTACCTCAAAGGGATCGATCAAAGGCTGTTTTTATTAAATTATTTTTGTTTAATCGAACATATCGCGCTGAAAAAAGCGGAAAACAAGAAATCACATCCCTTTATAGCGTCTTTAATTTAATTAACGTTTCGAAAATCACTTTGTTTTCGTGTGCAGATGACGTTTGTTTTTTGTTTGTCTGTTTTTTGTGCGAAATTTTTCGTTAAACAGAAATAGTTTAAGGAAAACATTACTTGATACTCGAGTAAACAAAGGGGGATGTAAAAGTGTGCCCCAAATAAATAACTTCAGACGAAATTCGTCCTTCATTTTTATTTACCTTTTCGAAATAATCGTCGTTTTATTAAGTTCTCCTCTCATACGACATTCATAATTACAGTGTAATTATGTATTGTATTTACTTTAGGAGTAATATCTTTTTATTTGCGAAACAAAAAAATGGCGTAAGTGGACAAGAAAAATGTCCAAGGCAGCGTTACTTGTGTACCATGTAAACATAATTATTTAATATTTGGAGTTCCCACTTATTACGAGAAGCAGCATTAATTAATACACAAAGCAAACAGCTTTAAAAATTGCTTTTGCCCCAGCTGCTCCTAATTAACACTTTCTTTACATATCTTCTCCTTCCCGTACTTTTACTGCAACATACCGAGTACTCACTTTTAATTTTAACTCGTTTGTAGCAAGCTTAACAGGCAACCAATGGAGTGTGTTACAAAGAAACGATAAAACAACAATCGAAACGGGGAATTAGATCGTTTTTAAAGTTTCGTAATTAACTCGGGACGTGTCGGGAATTGGGATAACGAAAGGTTTTTGAGGCCTATCTCTGATCGATATTTTAATGCAGTGAATCATCAACATTGGGTTAGTAAACACTTTTTAATGAAGGGAATGCTAATCAGCGACATCACCACCCGCATATAACACACACGGCAATGCCCACTCGAAAATTCCCTATCTGTCAAACCCTTTGTTTCACGTTGGATTAAAAATGTTGTAAAGATCAATCTTCCGAGGAAAATAAATTGTTTCGATGTTAATCAGAAATGCTGAAAATAGATAACGCTATTTTTGTTCCGAAGTTTTTTTAACCTTGTTTTTAATTTTAAACAATTTAATAGCAGCTCGCGAGCTCGCACAGAAACCATCCAGACAATAAAAAGGGCAGGTCAAGGATTCCTGATTAAGCTAAAGAATGCAATGTAAGTCTGTAAATTCCTGCGACCATACAGAGGTATATAATAATTCAGTCTTAAATATTGTACATACGTCCAATTTTTCTTAAATAAACTTTTAATTATACGTTTTTGTGTCCGTGTGCTGCCTACACGTCTCTTGTGCAGAACAAATGTTTTCCGACTTCGTTTTCTTTTCCATGAGAAATTACTTTTAGAGTCCCCCCAACAGTAATTAAAAACTTAACTCGATAAAAACTTGGAAAGTCTCTTAACGGCTGAGTTTTATACATTTCGGTGCAATATTTTAAACTCGACAACCGCCGCGCGCTTTTTTAGTCACTTCATAAAAATACACATTTGGATATTGAGCAGTGGCATCGCATTCGTGTTTTAAATGTGGGGGGACTCTCATTTTTTTTGCCCCACCATTATTTTTGGTTCTACACTTATTTCATGGCCTACTATGATGAAAAATGTATTAAAACACGATTTAATTGAATCTCCTTTGTTTAAAACTCTAAAATTTTGTTAAATGTGTACACCGTCCATTTTGCTATAGGATACACTAAATCTCAGACATTCTTACAAAATTTCTCTCTATTAAAGCTTTTGCTACCACGATACTGTCAAAATCTTGAAAATGATTACAAATTTTCTAGAAATTATTCTGGGGTACTGAAAAAATATATATACCTCACCTCAAATTATTACAAATATAAACTTTATTTAAACAATGATTGCATGAATTAAAAATGCAAAAGCAACACACGTAAGTACAGGAATAAAGTACAGTTTAGATATTTATTCGTTCAAGCGAATTCATTTATTGTAATTTATTTCGTTAAGCA